TCATGATACAAAGCTGTCTTTTATCACTGCGTCACGAAAATGCTTCATTACCGATTAAAGACGGGCACATCATGAAAACAAGTTGGCATAATATAGTGTAAAACACACCAACATATTTTAGTTAGTGTGTGTGCCATAGTCAACACTTTATTGAGCCTGCAGATCTTCTAAAATAGTGTTGAGAGCATTAAAATTCTTAGTGATACCACAGACAAACAGACATAACTCTCGCGAGTTGTTCATCGAACAAGCATTTAACGGTCGATTTAAAAGTATCGTAGTTGGTAGTACCGCCACCTGTGGCGCGCATAGTCAATTCCCTTGCGTTTGACGTTAAACACTACCGCCATCTGTTCAGCGTACTACCCACCACTGTGTATTCAACAGATGGCGGTAATGTTTTAGCGACGATGTTTTACAGTGAGAAATATTCAATGTGTTATGTCTGTTTGTCTGTGGTGATACCGTTCCATGGTATGCATGTTGTGCAAAAGACTTCCTTGAGTTTCACGGACTCATAAAGATTTTCAGGATATTGTTCAAGACTTCATTGAGCCTGTACATCTTCAACATTTTATCTCCAGAATAGTTTAAAGAGCATTATTCAATGATTGATGATTGTTACCATTCTTTGCTACGCATGTTGTCAGAAGGCTTTCTTGAGCTTTAGATAATAATAAAGGTTTTTAGGACATTATTCAAGGCTATATTGAGTCTGTAGAACTTCAAGATCTTAGCTCCAGAATTGTTTGGAGAGCATTAAATATCTTATTATTACCATTCGTACCAAGATCGTATGATGTGTTGAATAAGTTGGGATAGTGCAAATCACATTGAGCCTACATTGAGAAAATGAAGTTGTTAACTCCAGGACATTTTGGAGAAATTAGACGACCTCTGGGTTTCAACATCAAGGTTTAATTATTAATTTAGCTACATACTAATACAAAACTTGTGCAGAATAAGCAAGAAAATCTTGTTGCCTACTGCAGATTCTCCATAGTGCCATGGTCGAGCACTGAGAGGGCCAGTTTACAAGCAAGGTTTTGCATGGCGTCCTATAGCTCGAGCTGTGGTGAATCGATCTGAAATCTTTTACTACCATTAGAAGTGGAACTAAATGCCCACACACAAATGCACATTTCACTACATTTGCTTTAGCTCAGGCTGTGTTTAACCGATTCTGGAGCTTGTACCACCATTCGACTTGGAAGATTCTCCCCGTAACTAGCACGTAGGACATAACCCCAAGCCACCAGATCCGAAAAACATTATGATGATTGTCCTACCTTTTGCTTGCTTTGGTTTGATGCTGGATGATTTATCTTTAAGATAACTATAGTAAATATGACATTTTTTAGATGAACTAGCCCGTGGCTAAAAATATCTAAAGTTTAAAAAAAAAAGTATGAGATCTTAACCAGATTAGCAAACAAAACGAACTGCTTACAGTTACAGATATAAATTCCCTCAACAATTTTCAGTTGCTTCACAGCGATATATATATACATAAATGAGAGACACATAGAGTGCAATAAGGGGGTCACCTCGTCAGTGCCTCGCTAGGTGTGCTAAAAACATGATTTAGGAAAAATATGTTTTTCCCATAACTACGGGTAGCGGCCTTCCATCAGAAATGGGTACCAGAGGACTTATATAATTCATCTCGCCTCGTCTTTTCAAGATATCACGACCATACCATAGTTGATAGTGATGATACATGGCCAATTAGAAAAACTCAGAAAGAGAGTCACTTCTACCCAGTTCTATGAGAAATTTCTAAAAAATTGCAGATACTCAGCGCTGAGTTCCTGCAGTTTTTAGAAATTTCTCATGCAGCTGAGTAGAACTCTCTCTCTCTCTCTTGCGCAATACATATCCCGCAAAAAAGAGTTCGGTGTACTAGAAAGCAGGCCGATGTCCGAGGGGGGCGACACATCTAAATCTCAAGTTTAGATGCTCAACAAATCTCACACTAGCGAATCAATCTTCGAACAATCTTCTTTCATTTGTCGCATCTACTTGCATCGCTCATCAAGTTTATGCAGGAAATCTTCAGAATCGTCATCAATCTTCTTTCTATCTACTCAGCGTGCGCGCAGCTAGCTACAGCAAAACACAATCTTTTTTGCATCGTAGATAGAGTCGTCCCCCTCGCCGATGTCGACCTTTTGTAATTGGCTGACCAAGTTGATAAGTTGAATCAACTCACTTGAATCATTTAATTGCTCCTTTATGGGCAGGGTTGCTGCACGCTTAAGAGCTGCGCGTTATCACCGTTACCAAATGACAATTAAACATAAGCGCGACAATAAAAATTATGTGTTATTTTGACGAATCGAGTCCAGCCGTATGCCGTTTGACCGAAAATTAATCAATATAAAAATACCCGTATCTGTGGATAAACGATCAAGGAAGTACAATTAAATGGTGATTATAATGCAGAGCTTTTAAAGTTCCTTTTAAGTAAGTGGTGTTTGAGTGTTATAGTGTTGAGTGAATAAGTTTAGAAGAGAAAGACAACATACATGTATACACCCCAAAAAGTTTTAAAAGGGAATTTTGTAGATAAGATGGATTTAATTTGCGAAATTCAGTATTTACTACTAGTATTCTCTCTTTATTTGCATAAGCATTCCGCAACAGACGCCAACGTTCACTAGGATAGAGCTTCTTATAGTTAATTGTTTCCTAGGAAGCTAGGTGGTCAAACTAATTATCAAAATATAACTACAACAATCAACTTAGTCATGATTTGCTCTTCTTTCTAATAATACCACGGATAGGGAGGCACTAAACCGTAAGGTGGATTCTGTGAAAAATTGATTGATATTAATTATTGAAATTTAAATTAAATAGTTCTCTTTCATGCTTACCATAAATTTCTGGTGCTTTTGGCGTTTACCACGTCCTTGTAAAGGTACATACACGGGAACAATATTTAAAGGTTGAATTGGATGAACTTGGGGATAATATCCTACATGATAACTAGGAGCATACCCATAGGCGTATTGATATGGGCTAAAATGTCTCACAGTGCGTGAAGCCGCTTCATGGTTTATTTTTTCAGAATTACTCTTCAAATCTATTACGTCGCTTGACACTGTACCTACAACTATTAAACTTGCAGTGAAGAATAAAAAGGTCTTCATATTTGGTTCACAAACAACTATTCTGTTCAAACGCGCAAACAGTATTGATTGCTGTGATCGAGCATACGATGGTTTTTATATTATTTGTATGACCTTTAATGTACACTATTCTCACCTACAACACGGTAACAAGTGAAATGAAATCGATGTTCATCAGTTTAAAATAAACCAATCATTGCACAGCTATCGGTTGGTTAGAAATGCACAAGGAAAAACACCAATTATGGAGCAATAAGCAGTTAACACATCTAAGCGTATGTTTGCTATACACACCTATCATAAATTATGCCACGGATACACTTGTATGACAAACTATGATCATGAGCATTATTTGTAAAATTATAAGCACGTCCAAAAACTATACAAGTGTGACCATTGATATGCTCATAATTTGTTATACAAATCATGCTCATAGCTTGTCATACAAATGTAACCAAGTGGTTCCAAACTAATTCGCTAATACCTTTATTTTTGTATTTTTTTTATTTGTGTTCCTTTCGTCAAAAAGTGCCATTTTCCATCTTCAAATCGCAGTTTTGAATGAAGCCTTATTTTTGAAAAGGGCCTATAGAAAATATTAAACTCATCTTCAGAAAACTGTTACTCGAAAATGGTTGATCCGATCGGTTTGGTGCCTTGGACAATGTTGTAGGTAATAGCTGGGACTATTTGAAAAAAATATGTACACTCTAAAAAATTTAATCAAATAAAAATAAAGGTTTAAAAATAATTTTCCTCATAAAATGTAAATTCTTTTGTATTTTTTTATTTTTTTTTAATATGTTTTAGGAGATAAAAAATGCACTATACAGGGTGCGTGACGAATTTTTGCAGTAAATGGCATATTTGAGAAAAAAATACACCAGTTAGTTATTCTAGCAATGAATTTTGTGCGATTTATTTTCTTTCGCAACATATGGAAGTTGTAAGTAAATTTATTCAAAAAATTGCCTTCCCTTTCGACGACTGTAGTTAGACGCTTCCGGAAACTGCAGTATGCACGTTTTAAAATGTTTCGATCCATAGATGTCATTACTGCCTTGATTTTAGCTTTTAGCGACTTAAGTGTGGTGTGAGGGGTTCTATTGGTATCCCGTTGGACGACGCCCTATACAAAATAATCCAACGGATTGATATCGGGACTGCTTGGGGCCAAATTTCTTCCTCCCAAATTTACGAAATACTTTCCGTAAGCCATTTCTGTGCTTTATTAGCAGTATGAGCAGGTGCTCCGTCTTATCACTTTCCCAAGCCTTTTTTAATATTATACACTGTTCTTTCAGACACATTTACCGACCGAATTATTTCTTTCATGCATACTCCGGCGCGCAACAAAGCGACAACGGCTGACAGATTGCTCTCTTGTTTCGACATCTTTACGTTTACTCAACATTGTTTGTTTAAATCTTACACCTAACAGTATAAGCTATCCAGTACTGCCAAATATTCAAATAGTTCCAGCTATTACCTACAACATTGCCAAAGGCACCAAACCAAACCAAACTGGGCAAACCATTTTCTATAGGCCTTTTTCAAAAATAAGGCTGTATTCAAAATTGCGATTTGAACATGGAAAATGGCACTTTTGGGCAAAAGGAACGTTTCTGCAAATTTTCATCCAAATAAAAAAAAAAATACAATAATAAACGGATTAGTGAATGAGTATGGAACCGCTCATCCGCACCAGCATGAATCAAATTTTGCTACAATCTATGGGTTATCTGGATAATAAGAAAGGGTGACTCTCTTACATAGCAGACCAACGTTTGTTGAATCGATTAGATGGCAAGTAAAAAGTTGCAATCAGAATTAATGATTGGGAAATCACAAGAAGAAAGGAATACTTACCAAGGAAATGTAACCTGTCTCGTGCCATTGACAGATTTGTTTGCATTTTGTCGTGCAATCGTTGAGCTCTTTCCCACACTTCACCTCGTCCGCCCCAACATTCGACTGCAATTCCGCGTTCCAATTCTAAAATGCCTTTCCTGTACAGTTCGATGGCAAGCTCCTTTTGACCTGGAAGAAAAGAAAAATCAAACGAAATTTAGTTTTTTGCATTAATTTGACTGCTGACATTCAACATTTCAATACGGTTAAATTATAATTCTTCCGGCTGAAAATCTCTCCAATAAAGACAAACATAAACTTCTAGGCGTAATACAACCCTAGCACAGTAATGGATCAATTTTGGATCGTATCTGATTTTTATCTTTCAATAATTTACATAAGTAACCTTAATTCCAAATCTATCTCATTCATCTTCAAGATGGATGTTTAAGGTATACTTTTATGCAATAAGACCACTGAAAACGTGCATGGGTTTCATAGAACAATAGAAAAAAACAAGAAGGGAGCTTACAAAATCGGGTCCTAGCGCTAAAACTGTGGTGGGGAAAGACGTAACATTCCCTTTTCCACCCAAAATTGGCGATGTGGACAACGCTTCGCTTAATCCGTTTGAATCGGTATGCTCCGAAAAAACACACCCTCGATTTTGGAGAAGCAATATATTATACTTATATTGTTATTTTCGCATCCAAACCAGCATAAGGGGTCTCTCAGCTGTTGGTTTTCAGTCGATCACACTATCGACAGTTGTTTACTTTTTTGGTGCACTTTGTTCATTGCCTGCAGCTCGATCAGTACATTTTTCGTCGCCGTTGTAGGCAAACATATTGATATGGTCGAAATAAAGTGGATCCTTTGGAAGGGCAGAGTCCACTCTCATGAAATCACCGGGTTCCAAAAAAAAATGCGATTTTCACCAAATTAAAATCAGAAACATGTATGCTCTGATGCATAACGCCGAGCAATTATTTTCCATTATGCTAATGGAAAGGCAGTCGATGTACGCATGTCACTTGCGGGGGGCAACGTTCAATACGTACCATAAGAGCGTAGTTTTTACCACCGGAGATGTTAGATAATGATATAACGTTGGTGCTGGGAAAATACGGAAAAGTGAAGCGTGTAATCCGAGAAAAATTCCCTGCGGAGTTGGGCCTCGACATGTACACAGGTGTGCGAAGAGAGTATACATGAACGTGAAAAAGGAGATTCTCTTCTCGCTTAATTTGCTCAATCGCAAGGAGAATATATTTTATTCTGGGCACAAGGATGTCGAGTATTAGTACAAGACACTGAAGAAGTCTGCACATTGTAGACGAAATACGCGTATCTGTCAAAGATAAGCAAATAAAGTAGTGGAATTAAATGGAAAATACTAATCCTTCTGTCTCTTATTATACAGGTATTCCACTAAGACGCGCACATTAATCAGGATACAAGGATAAATGCTTTCTGTGTAAGGCGGAAGGATATCGGATGAACGCCTGCCCCAAGCAACCGATAAGCAAGCGGAAGAGGAAAAAAAAGTTGGAAGGGTTGTATACTAGATACGACCGCAGGGTTGGCGTTGGATAACGTCTGTTATGTGTTGTATTTAATTGTGTATATTATATTTTAGGAATATTCCTTAATAACTCTTTTGCGATAGTTTGGTGGCCCTGAAAAGGGCCGTTTTGTTGGGCTGATGTTGTTGGGTTTGCTCTACTCTGTCGCCCTGGAGGAGCTTTGGAATGATGTTGGTAGTTCGAAGACAGACCGCATCTCCCCTTCCAGCGTTCCCACACCCCAGTATAGTCCCCAAATTTAAGTGTAACTGTGATATTCTGGATAGAAATTGTCTTCAAAACTAACTCTTTGTCGAATTATTGGTGGCCCTGAAAAGGGCCGTTTTGGTTGTGGTTTTGGAATGATAGACTGAATAAATGATTATGTTTGAAAAATTTCAGTTTTTGCTCCGATCAACAACCATACGGGGCAATATGAGCACCCTAGTAAAAGTTAAGGTTTTGACAGGTTTTCACTAGAAAATAACATGCAGGAATCAAGTGAAATAGAAACATAAGTTCTTTTAGCAACAGTTACATGTATTGCTCGCTGTAGAACCAGCGGATCAGTAAAATGTAATATAGTGAATGCGATGCTTGTTTGCTTGACTGCATATCTTATAATATTCTAGAGATTTTGAGCTAATGTTACATTTCCATTATTATCTTAGACATGTAATTGAATTTTGATACGGTTTTCATGGAGATGCATATTAGAAGCATTTTCAACAAGTTTGTAAAAAAAAAATAGATTGAGTTAATAGGTATTATGCCCAAACGAACGGTGGCCCATCTCGCCCCGTATGGTCTTCTTGCCCCCATCGCCTCTATTGGACTGAATTCGGAAACGCTCATGTCCAACCGGTTTTCGTTTTGGGCTGGAAATTCTCTAAAGCAACATATTTAAAAAATCTGGGAAAATCCGGAACATAATTAAAAATTCTTGAAATAAACGTAATAACATATAAATGAATTATATCTGGGTAAGTATCTGGCAAGACGATTGAAAATCTGGAAAATCAAATAAATCAGGAATACTGGCAACGCTGTCTCGTTTCATGCCCGTAGAGACAACCGACACTCATCCCATTTTCAGTATTTTGCTACCCACAGTATTTATTGTACCGTCCCTGTATTCATAATATGCTACTCGACGCAGGTATAAAACCACCCTCGACGGTCGAAATGTCATCATTACAGTTTCAGCATCGAACTGTTCGTGTCGTTCGCATTATGTCTGGACGTGGAAAAGGAGGCAAAGTCAAGGGAAAGGCAAAGTCCCGTTCGAGCCGCGCTGGATTGCAGTTTCCAGTCGGTCGTATTCACCGTCTCCTCCGAAAGGGCAACTATGCCGAGCGTGTTGGAGCCGGTGCTCCCGTCTACCTGGCTGCCGTGATGGAGTATCTGGCCGCTGAAGTTCTCGAGTTGGCAGGAAATGCCGCTCGTGACAACAAGAAAACCCGAATTATCCCACGTCACCTGCAGTTGGCCATCCGCAACGACGAAGAGCTGAACAAACTTCTTTCCGGAGTGACCATCGCTCAGGGTGGTGTCCTGCCAAACATCCAGGCCGTCCTGTTGCCCAAGAAGACCGAAAAGAAGGCTTAAATTCGATCGAAGTTCCCACCCTTTAACAAAATCCGTCCTTTTCAGGACGACCAATTTGATGGTAAAGAGTTTCGTTTTCAAAACAGTTTCCTTTGTGGTGCGCAAGGAGTGATAAAATGAATCCATTAAAAACATGGTTGAATCTTTCTGTCATGCTCTCCCTAGTTAATTGATATCCTCATCGAGTAAGTTCGATGATGGTTGATTAGTGTAGGCGTGTCTTGAATTCCAAGAAATTAACCAGTGCAGTGTTATCATTCCATCCATATCTAAAATTAAACTAACGACTAAATTTTCAATAGCGCCCTAAAATATCCATCAGTATCGTCCCAACGACGCGTTCATATAGATAAGATTGGTAAATAGCAGATTTTTAGCGATGGGCCCAATCTTAGATCCATTTCCCCTACCTTGCAGAGCTGCGGTGGCCCTGGACTTATGGCCTACATTGATGCAGCGGAATGAAATTCATTAGCAAATTACGGTTGAGATTTCAGAAATGATCGTGGTGTGCGTATTGTTCCTTCATTGCTCAACATTTACCGTTACCGTTGGGACTTCCGGTCTTCTTTGCTTAGTCAACCGGTTAATCTTATTGAAGCGATACTTCTAGATTATTATTACGCCTATACTGTGGGCTCATAGAACAATAAAACCGAGCCTGGTTAGTAGGTGAACACAAAATACTAAAGTAGAACATTCTGCCAACATATAGAGTCCAAGAGATTCCTTCAAAAAGGCACAATATATGCGACCGAAACTTCGGATGAAATCCAAACAGATATTTTGAGAGGAACCAGTCGATCACAATCCTCTTATTGAGTTTAACCGGTATTAACAGAGAAATAAGACGCGTTAACCACGAATCCTTGGGAATGATCGTGACACGCTTCATACGGATGACGAATCGTCCTCATCTCATCCTCAGAAAATGATCGGCATCCTTTTGAAAAATTCCCCTCACAAAAAGGCTTTTCATGTACTGCCAGAGGTTAGGGGGAGAGGGGCAATTTAATTATTATTAAAATGAACGAAATTTACGATGTGCGCTTCCATCGTGCAAACTTTATTTTGATTGCCGAAGCACACTCAAAAAATTTACCACATAGGTATCTAATGGATGAAAACCATGTGAATTTCACATAGCTAAAAATCCCACCACAATATCACATGAATATCAGGAGGCCGATGAAAGTCATGAAAAAAGTGTCGGAAAGGCATTAGAAAATTAATCGTTAAACTCTTTCTTGATAATGTTGTGGCCCTGAAAAGGGCCATTTTTCCAACGCGCTCGGCGTAGTTGCCCGGTGAATACGACCGACTGAGAACTGCAGCAGCTGGGCATTCCATGACGGCGGCCCAGTATACCGGAGCACTGGCACCAACGCACTCGGCGTAGGATTAGGATAAAATTTAAATAGAAAAACCGTGTTATGAGGCGGCGCTTATATTAAATTCTCCCGAATTGTGACGGTAACACGCGTGCCCACACTTACCGAACCAGAGATGTTAACAGTGTCTGTTAAAATTATTATTGTACATTGCAATTATATTACTTCCACCATTGAAATAAAATATAAAAAATTGAAATTAATGCTTACCGTGTATTCAAAAAAGACCACGGCCTAATTTATTAAAATATTTTCATATGAGAAAATATAAACATAAAAACAAAAAACATGCAGAAAGAAATAAGTCATTATGTGACAACATACAATATGCAAACATTGTTTAAATGATTATCTGTATCGACTGTTTTTATCACAAGCATCAAACCTCGTGAAATAGGGGAAATTACGGCTTCGGCACTTCTTTACCTACTTAATATCGTCATGGGTTAAATAAAGTCTTAGGGTGTATTTTTTGCAAAACGATTCTCTGCACCTATTTTTAAAATTCATATACGTTTATGCAAGATATAGTGCACATGTTGTTAACGATAGATTTGACGACATTTTAAAAGATTTGTTTTTGCAATATCGCATAAATCAGCAATGTATAAAAGCTTGTAAAAAATTTCAATGTTTTTATGCCAACTACACCTCAAAATTAAACGAGGGAAGATTTTACGCGATGGTTAATGTTCCGATTTTTTTTTTAATGATGGGAATACGACAAATAATTATCCTTAAGATTTTGACTCTTTTGCACCTATAGTTGCGACAGTGTTCCTATAATAGTAGAATCCATTAGAAAACAATGCGTTCAACTATGATAGAAACCAACATTAGCAACTTCTACAACTACTGGAACAGTGTTCCCATTAAGGGGGTATTCCCAATCTTTTGCCTTTTTTCGGCCTGTTTTTCAATTAATTTTTTTTCAAGGAAAATGAATAGTAATGCGCCTAACTCTTTGGGATTCTTGTTTATTGAACATTAAAGTTTACAAATAAATTTTTTTTCGACATAAAAAAAGACATTATTGACGTCACAAAATGGCGACAAACAGACCCCTCTTCGCCGCAAACGCCTGGACGGGCGAAGACTTTTCTCTGGAACGGCTTCATCTGAAACAGATTTCGTGATGAAATTAATAATCTGCATAAGATTCTCTGGAGCTTCTCCCGTTGGCAGCAAAAAATCTTGCAAATTAACAAAATGGCGGCCATATGAAAAAACAGGCGATTTTTAGCCCGCTTTTTTGCAATTTTAAGGTGCTTCAAACAATGTTAAATGTTAATATTTTTGGCTGAAAATGGGAGAAGCTCCAAAGAATTTAATAAGGAACAAAATGCGCAAAGATTCAAGTCAATATCTCTTATAGTTTCTGAGAAAAATCTTCGCCCGATAAAAAAAATGTGGTTTCGAGAAAAACGCGTTTAAAGTTTTGACTTTAGTTAAAACCATTTGGGGGTTCTTACCATTAGTCAGCTATGCCTGGACACCGAATTCGCTGATCGGAAAACGGCTTGGGGGGATGAAAGTATATAGTCTAAAGTACAAAAAACGTGAAAAAAAAAATTTGATTTTTTGAAAAAAAAGATCGGGAATATGAGGACGAGTTTTTGAAAAATGTATGCAATTTAATCATAATGTATCATTTTTCTAGCAAACTAAATATGTAAAGCTATACATTGACGTATACAAATTATACGTATTTCGATTATTTATATTTAAATACATAAATTGTCTTAGTTCCTCCACAACTGGCTCTCCCACCTTACCATTTTTCAGATGAACTTTAAACTTTAAACCGCTCTGCGGACCCGATGTCCGATTGAGCCAAAATTTTGCATACGGTCTTTTTTTCAAGGCAATGAATGTACATGGGCCGTTTCAAAAAATTTATGGATTCTTTTTCCCATATATTTCATTGTTGAGTTAGCAAAATTAGGTAACGCACGGAATGATATGCATTTCAAATAAGAAAAAAAAACAAGAGAATGGGGAATCTGACACTCTTTAATGTTTATAAGTTGTAGACGAAGTGTGCGTCAAGTACAACCAAGAGCAGTGGGAATCACATATACACTTTTACTCATTACACGATCTTATGCATAACCATTCACAGCATATGAAGGTGGAAACTGTTGAATACAACCAGATTTATAAAATACTTATGCATCAATTAAGGAAGTGGATTAGTAACTTTTGAAAATGTATACATATACTAGGTGGGGTGAAAAGTAACCTCCTTGACCGCCAGAATGTGCTGCTACTGCAAAAAAGGTTATGGTGCCTTGTAGTCAGTCCGTTCATATTTAGGCAGACATGCCAAATTTCAGTGCGATACTGTCTTTAGTTTTGTTTTGACAACTGATTGTTGTTGACGTGTTTGGCATCATGTTGAGTATGGATAAAAACGATTTTCGTTCTCTCATAAATCATTATTTTTTGAGAGGCAAAACGGCGAAGAAAACTTGGATAAATATTATGGGGCTAATGCTCCGTCAGATTACACCGTCAAATATTGGTTTCGAGAATTTCGTGGTGGCCGCAACTCCACTACCGATTAAGTCCGCAGCGGCAGGCCCTCCGATGCGGTTACAGAGGACAATGTCAAAAAATACATGAAATGGTGTTGGCTGGCCGGAAAGTGAAAGTGCGCGAGCTAGCAGATACCGCAAAGGAAAGTACTGAGCGCACACGCCATATTTTGGGCGCGATTCTGCATATGAAAAAGTTATCCTACCGCTGGGTGCCACGCAAGCTCACAGTCCTGACCAAAAACACGAACGCGAGAGCACTTCGAAAGAGTGCTTGGACTTGCTGTTGCGGAATCGGGCGGACTTCTGGCGTCGATGGGTAACTGTTGATGAAACCTGGATTCACTATTACACCCCAGAGAACAGAATGAGTGCCCGGCACGAGGGATTTTCATGGCATACTCTTCGTGGACTACCTTGAAAAAGGAAAAACCACCAACAGCGAGTATTACTGTGCATTATAGGAGCGATTGAAGGCCGAAATCGCTGCAAAACGGCCTCACATGAAGCGAACAGATTTTTTTTTGTAAGACAATGCACCGGCGCACAAGAGCATCGCAACCACGGCTAAAATCAATGACTTACGGCTCCAATTGCTTCCGCATCCACCGTATTCGCCCGATTTGGCTCTCTCAGACTATTATCTCTTCCCAAACCTCAAAAGATGGCTCACAAAAAATTCAGCTCACGTGAGGAAATCATCGACGCCGCGGAGGAGTATTTCGCAGACCTTCCGGAAAATTACTTTTCGGACGGAATCACGAAGTTGGAAAATCGCTGGAATAAGTGTATCGAGCTAAAAGGGGACTATATTGAATAAAATAATAATAAAAAAAAACATTGGAAAAAATTAATTCCCAAGTTGGTTATTTTTCACCCCACCTTGTATATAGGAAGATAAATCAATTTGATTTAAAAATATACATCTGCTTTCCATTCAGTGTTTTTAGAACACTTCCACGGTTGCTTATTGCTTATTGCCCTATAAACACGTACCAATCTGTTGCGTTTTTGTACACCTAAAAAAGTAAAAGAAGGACAAATAGTATTAAAAAGGGATTAAGTTAGCCACTAGGGCTGAAATTATGAAGATTACACAAAGTAATTTCAAATGTGTTATTGAATTGGATACACAACCGACCCAAGCCTTAAAATGCATTCAATCCTTATCACAAATGTGTTGCTAGAAATTGAGGGCATCGAGAGATAAAGTGATAAGAGATATGCAGTACTGTAGTGAGGAGTAGCATAATTTGACCACTTCCCTGTTAACTTTTTCTACCCTACAAGGTAAGGTTAACAAAGTTTGACATTATTTCAAATATTTTAACGTGTGATTGACATTTATTTGTGTGACTTTTCCTGATCAGATTTAGGATCGTTGAAATTAAACATTCTGTAAATGCTCAGGTTCTTGAGAGTATAAAGATCTAGATCTGTATTGTATTTATCCAGGTTGTTTTAACTATCATATGGAATGGTGAGAGACTGTCAAATATTTGCAATACTTATTGCTTTCCAATTACAAAAAAAATCTGAAGTAAACATCATTATGCTTTGAAAAATGACCAAACGAAGTGAAAAAAAAAAATTCTCGTCTAACAAATGGTGTACAAACTAGATTTACGTATAAAGAAGGAGAGAAGAGTTAGTAATTTCCATTTAATTCCACAACCTTAATTGCTTCTCCTTGACAGATACACGTATTTCGTCTACAAGGCGCAGACTTCGTCAGTGTCTTCTACTAATACTGGAGTATTAGTGCAAGACACTGAAGAAGTCTGCACATTGTAGACGAAATACGCGTATCTGTCAAGGATAAGCAATTAAAGTACTGAAATTAAATGGAAAATACTAATTCTTCTCCCTTTATTTATACAGGTATGCCACATTCATCAGGATTCTAGATTTCCAGCCGTTTAAAATATGCTAATAAGCTATTTTATAGAGAAAAACAGCAGTGGCGTCGCGTAACCTCACTTTTTACCTGTTCAACAACTTTGAAAACGTTATTTAGGGTTATGTTTACATTCAAATCAATTTCAAAAGGCTCAGGGTCTTCTAGTATCACAGATTTGTTTTCATTGGAACCAATATTGTTTTATTTGTTTACTTTTTGAGAGTTGTTGAACAGGTAGATTGAGGTTAGGGCGACGCCACTAAAAAACAGTCGGGGAGACCGATGTATGTTCCGCTACTAAACGCAACAGAAAAATCGGAACATGCTACTGAAAATACTGTCTCAATCTATGTTCTTAGTCACAGTAACATCGTAATAAAAGAACAGTATATTCTCTTTTTCAAGCGCACGTTGCACAAAATGTTACAGTATCTGTGAGAGGCAATTCTTCGTGATGAGGAGATTTAAACAATTTTTTTTATCTTTTTGTGGTTCAGTATCATTTGAAAAGTCAAGCGTTACTACACGTGATGGAGTCAAGATATCAATTGTGGGAAAGCAATGATTACATCAAGTTGTTTAGAGAGTACTTGCGCATTGAATCAGTTCATCCAAATGTAAACTATGGTACTCCCGTTTGATTTCTGTTAGTTTAGTATGTATGTAGGTATATTTTATCTTATCGATATTTTTCAGACAAGTGCGTTGAGTTCCTACAGCGCCAAGCGGATTTACTAGAGCTGCCATTGACCATCGATGAAGTTAATCCAGGAAAACCTGTAGTTATTATATCTTGGGAAGGAACGGATCCTGGAATGGATTCTATCTTTTTAAATTCTCACATGGATGTGGTACCAGTATATGCGGAGAAGTGGACTTATCCACCGTTTTCGGCTCACATGGACAATGAAGGGCGTATTTATGCTCGTGGCACGCAGGATATGAAAAGTGTGGGAATTCAGTACTTGAGTGCAATCCAGGAATTGAGGAAAGAAAAACAAAGATTCAAAAGAACTGTTCACGTTGTATTTATGCCGGACGAGGAAATAGGTGGAGAGCTCGGAATGAACGATTTCGTGAAAACTGATCATTTCAAAAAGCTAAATTGTGGTTTTGGGATGGACGAAGGGTTTGCCTCTGAAGAAGATGTTTTCAAGTTGTACTACGGGGAAAGAACAATTAAACGTAAGATGTTGTTGTTGGGAATGTTACTTGTGATGAAAATTAATTCAATTCTAGGTGCCTATTTTCATATATCAGGAACATCGGGTCATGGATCTCTTCTTTTGGAAAGAACTGTTGGCGAAAAGGCAAGAAAATTGATGGACAAAATATTTGATTTTCGAGAGAAAGAATCAAAACGACTGGATTCCAATCCAGGATTGACAATTGGAGATGTAACAACAATGAATGTTACTTCGATGTCGGTGAGATAGATCAGTACAAAAAGTTTAATTACGTATATTAGCAATTTTTTTTTGAATTTTATATTACAGGGTGGGGTTCAAACTAACGTTGTGCCCCCGGAGTTAAAAATATGTGTTGATATACGAGTGGCGATTAATGTTGATTTGCGACAGTTCGAACTTATGTTGGAAACATGGTGTGATGAATCTGGTGACAGCATTCGCATTGAGTATGATGGAGATTATCCATTTATTGAACCAACCAAGTTGGATGGAACGAATAAATATTGGCTTGCATTTAAAGCGGCGATGGATGATATGAATTTGAAAGTGAGGCCTCAAATCAAAGCAGGTGCAAGTGATATTCGACATGTACGAAAATTGGGAATTCCTGCGATTGGATTTTCACCAATAAATAGAACTCCTGTCCTACTGCATGATCATAATGAATATTTGCAAGCTGATACTTTTCTCAGGGGAATCGATATTTATAAGAATATTATACAAGCAGTGGCAAATGCTTGATTTCAGCAGAAAATATAATGTGTAGTGCAATATAGATTGACATTTTAATTCATGATGACACTTAACATAACTTAACTCTATTGATCATAACAGAAAAAAAAGTTAGGACAAAGTGGGGCAGTTTGGCCACTTTAAGAAAATCAATACATCATGAATACAATTTGAAAATAAAAAGTAAATTTTTGACTCATTTAAAACACGTTCGTTTTGTAACCAATATAATACCTTCGGGGTAAAATGAGCACCCTATCGGGGTGGTATGAGTGCCCTTGTAAACAACCGGTAAGAATATTATGTTATCATAGGGATTTATGAAGGGTTAACAATTTGCTGTTTTAGCATAACAACATTAAAAAGAAATAATTATTTTCTGTAGAATAAATTAAAAAAAAAAAAAAAAACTACTACCTATTTGCTTTCCAGTTTTCTTAGCTTTTCAAAAAGAAGCACAGTATTCATGAAGAGATTTTACACAATGATTGAAGGAATCTATTAGCAGCTCGGGATCCAACTTTTGGTAGAAGTTTTGCCAGCCAGTTTTATCAAATTCATTTATAACTAAATTGGAATCTATGTTTTTTTTTTTATAATCTCTGTAATAGACTTCACTTGTAGCTGGAATTGAATCAAGATTTATCGATACGAATATCAAATTGTGATGAAATATATTTGGAACACTTATTTGCCCAAACATAAATATACATTCGATTATCCTAGTTAATAAAAGATCTAGCTGCGACGATTCATAAGAATGAAAAATTAGGTACTAAACCTACCTACATGTTTGTCGTATTAGACGCTAAATAATAGTTTCAACAAAATGGAAATAACTGAAAACGTCTTTGAATGGCCGTCGGTATGCAAAGAGAACATTGACGAAAATAATCTGTCAATGTCACTTAGGACCTACTCCATTGTTCTGCTTGATATCAATTAATTTGAGGATCACCCAAATGTTTACAAACATCAAGAGAAGGAACTTTTTAAGCAAAAATGCTTCGCCAAAGACATCAAACGTCTGAATATTAAAACAAAAGTTCTAGGACTAGCTTCTTGCTAAATTCCCATCCTGGACCACTGTGCACTGTTCAAAGAACTAAAGGATGAGAACAAGAGGGAGTTTTACTTCGAGCGTAAGCTAATGAAGAAGAAGAAGAAGAAGAAGAAGAAGAAGAAGAAGAAGAAGAATAAGCATAATGACAGTCACATTACATGCTGACAAATCTGATCATTTTGAAAAATATATTCTTTTCTATTTGCAATCTGGTTCCAGTTCACTATAACGACTGAAGAACACATTAGAGCGCAAATCATTTTTATTATAGGTACAGCTTAAAACATAAAACTGTAGATTAAAGAAATAAAATGTACATGATATTGAAAGAAGAATAACATTTACTGTTTAACGTACGTCATTAGTAGTCTGGAGATCAGTATTATTTAAAAACTCACACAATGCAATTGTAAAACAAACAAATTATTCAAGATACACACCTACATATACTAGAACAAATTTATTACTAGCAGGTGCTTATCTCGTGAAGGACAATAATGTCATGATTAATACCAATAAAAGGAAGACAGTACGGTACACACACACACTGATCCGAGAAGAAAGGTCAACCCATGGATGTCGATACCCCTAGTGTTTTAATATACTTCAGTGGCGGTTTTTATTACTAACCACCCGATGAATGAAGCAGACGTACACAGATGGGTATCATCTCTTCGTTTCAGTGTTCAACGTGCTGTCAAAGAGTGCAATAGCAAATCGTGCTCGCGGTAGTCGGAAAATTTCTGTATAGCGATGGGAAGCGATCAGGCTACGAAATCTGAGGAATGGGAAAATAATGAAGACATTAAGATATTTCGGGAGTATCTTAAAATCCCGTCAGTACATCCAAATATAAATTATGGTAAGACAACACTTCGAACGATAATATTATAGCATCCAAATTAAATGCTAATTTAAACAAAACTTGGTTGGTTGATCATAGTAATTTGATTTCAGATGATTGTGTAGAGTTTCTAAAACGCCAAGCTGCTGTGTTGGACCTACCAATACAAATTGTTGAGGTTAATCCAGGAAAACCGATTGTCATCATCTCGTGGAAAGGTACGAATCCTGCTGAGAAATCTATATTTTTGAATTCCCATATGGACGTGGTACCGGTTTATCCGGAAAAATGGACTATTCCTCCGTTTTCTGCACATATTGATGAACAAGGCAGAATCTACGCTAGGGGATCACAGGATATGAAATGTGTGGGAATTCAGTTTTTGGGCGTAATTCGTGCGCTGAAACTTGAAGGACGCAGATTGAAGAGAACACTTCACGTTGTATTTGTACCGGATGAAGAAATCGGTGGAATCCTTGGGATGAAGGATTTTGTGAAGACGGATCATTTCAAGGCATTGAATTGCGGATTTGGCATTGATGAGGGATATGCTTCAGAAAATGAAACATTCAGACTAACCTACGGTGAACGTACGATGAGACGTGAGATATCAAATATAACATGATGCCATGCGGCAGAGGTATGAAAAATCAATCATTTATTGTTTTAGCTGTACATTTCTTCATATCAGGAACAGCTGGTCATGGATCTCTACTATTAAACGGCACAGCTGGCGAAAAAGCACGATACTTAATAGACAAAATGATAGATTTTCGTCAGCAAGAAGAACAACGACTAGAAAACAATCCCGAACTGACCCTCGGAGATGTAACTACTATTAATCTAACAATGATGTCGGTGAGTAGACGTGTCAAATATGAATAAATGGAAATGTCGAAAAATATTTTGTTTGACAGGGTGGAGTACAAAGCAATGTTGTTCCTCCGGAGTTAAAACTCTGCTTTGATATACGCGTAGCGCACAATATTGCATTGGATGAATTTGAGTGCCTGTTGGAGAAATGGTGCGAAGAATCAGGTGGGGGAATAAGAATCGAGTACGGTGAAAAATACCCATATATCGAGCCAACGAAGCTGGATGAGTCAAACAAATATTGGACCGCTTGCAAAGAAGCATTTCTTGATATGGATTTGAAAGTGCGGCTAGAGATCATGCCAGGGGCTACTGATATTCGATATTTAAGAGAGTTGAATATTCCTGCCATTGGATTCTCTCCTATGAATAACACACCAGTGTTGTTGCATGATCACGATGAATATCTGCAGGCTGATGTATTTCTTAAGGGTATTGAAATTTATAAAAACGTTATAAGCGCTGTTGCAAATGTCTAGTAGTACATATATCAAATAATTTAAAGCTTAATAAACACAGGTAAAATAAACAGAACCGTTGAGTAAATGATGATAAAACTTTATGTTATTTTCTTATTTTTTTTTTCATCCCCATAGGATTGTAATGATCGGGGTTGATGAGAAAATTTTTCAAGTGACTATGATGCCGGACGGATTAGTCTATGGTGACCAATTAAACACCGGATTCACGATATTGATTAATCATAATCTTCTTGAAAATCTTTATGGTTCGGTAATCGCTGGTCTGTCTTTGTCTATGTCTTCTTCTCATTCATACGTCAGTTTTAATGTCTGGATGTTTTCTTGTCTAATGTCATGATGTGTTTGTGTATCAGGGTGTGTGTGTTTGTGTGTTTGCACCAAATGAATATATTCCTTCCTCATCTCCTAGTTTTATCTGCGTTCAAGAATAATGAACTAAAAAAAAATTGAAATAAAAAATTAAAGAAAAATATAACAAAAAACAAACAAAGAAAATTACAAAAGTTCATACCATAACATATCTGACTTATTATCCACTTTTTTTTGACTAATACTTAAATGTAATTTTTAATTTTATGACGATAAGTTGCTCAAAATAGCAGCCTGTAATTCCGTACCAGAATCCGCCTCCAATGTAATGTCTTTCGATATTTTCGAAGGCGAACACTCCGCAACCTATTCTTGCTAGTGATTCTGCCTAATTTTGTTAGGTATCCAAATTATAGTCATTCGTAAATTTATTATTGAATATATGGATGAATTATCTATTATTGAATAACTATTATTTACGATAATTACATGAAATAAATAAAATATAAACTACAAACAAATCGTGACTACTAAAATCTCAAAAAGATATTCTCACAAACGTATTTCACCCAACCAGGAATCTGAAAACCATTAGACGCTATAATGATACCTTGCACACCCTTACACACAAGAAGAGGCCAAAAGGCAAGCGTCTGACACACAAAACCCGTCAAATCCACTTGCAGCCACAATCAACGATTCTACGAACCATGAGCGCTCACGAATCATAAAACCGCTGACTGCGACACTCTGAAAGCGAAATAGACAGGCTCTATGCGTTAAACACCCGCCCTCCAATCTTCTCCCGTATCCAACAAATACAAATCTCCATTACAACATCTAACGAATTCAAAACTCTGAAAAGCACTCATCTATAGCAAGTGAGTGGAAGCAACCCTGCATGCAACCATTCTTCATGATACACTTTTTCTGCCTATCTTTCTATTATGCCTGTGGACATGCGTTAGGTTCGAAACTTCTAACCAAACTGGGAAATCTATCAGATCACAAAAACTTGAAAAAAACTTTCAAAGGTATTATTGATTATTTTACACAAAGACGAGCAAGTAATTTTAAATCTTTTGTATCGTATGCTAATGCCAATTGACTGTAACAAAAATAGTATGCTAAAACAAAAAAAAAAAAAAATAAAATGATATGCAAAATTTACTAGAAGATCATTACTTTATTGGTGAGAAGTTTCTAATAAGCCCTCCCAGTTCCTCTGTATACAGAACAAATCTGATACTATAATTAGAATTGCTCAGTCTGCATGAAGCAGCCGATTGCATCAAGGAAGTTCTATTAACAACCAAGAATGAATCGTTTGAGGCATACTGAAGCATTAAGAAGGTGATATGTGTCACTATAGGAAATCATCGTCGTTGCAAATATAAAGAAATTAAACATAACCCTTTGCTTCAGTACCGTCAACCTCCATGTCCATGGGGAGGGAACTTTATGTTATTTTATTAATTCAGTTTTTATTGTGCGTGATAGTCTGCGTTGTCACTGGATTTAAATGGTGATATTAACTCGCCATCAAGTGTTCGTAGTGTTATGAGGGGCTCAGTGGCCTAATGGCGACCGTAAAATATAGGTTAAATCCCTGGCTTCTTTACATCACCTCGTCTGTTTCTAATCACGACCACATGATTAATCAAATCGATTCCTTTTGAATAGGTTCGTGTCACCGGGCTTGACTGGTCGTCATTCGTAATGGTTAATGTTGACCCAAGAGCAGTCGCGTCAAATCACCGAAAAATGAGCGGCATTTTTTGCAAATGGTTGACAAAAATCATGCTTCAAACGTGCATTTTTGCGGGGTTCTCGATAAAATATAAAGTATGTTTCATCCAGGTTCGAAAACATAGTTGACTCCTGGCGGGGGCGTAGCTTCATGTTTTGATGTGATGTAAGAGGGACGGTGACCTAGTGGCGACAGCTTTCCCTTACTGATCAGTAGATTGTGGGTCTTGTCCCAGGCTCATTTATAATTTCGGAAAACAACATTTTATCAATATGATCATATCACTTATAAAGGTGAATCCTGATTCAACGAACCCTATCTACTAACAAAATCTCTCATCCTGTGACATTTGTCGGAGTGATGAGGTAAACTCGGCCCCCGAAACAACAAAGGTCATTCTCAAATTCCATCTCCACTCCCACCTAATTGCAAGGACGTGGTCGGTGCCGTTCTTGATCTTTAAGTTATTTCTTACTTAAGTAACCTGGGCACCTTACCCCGTAGCGTGGGTAGATCACCTGTAAGATGTAAGATCTACCACCGATTCTTATTCCTGACTACATTAAACTAGGGAATCAGGATTTTTCAGTAATCAAAGGAACTCATCTTAGTTCTTGTTATTTTTATGGCTTGTTGATAAAGACTCGACTTTGTCCACCGAGGATGATATTGAAACAAGGAAAAAAAATAGTTAGTTAGTCATCATCTATGTGATTCCTAATCTTCTATTCGTTGTTCCCTAGATTTGAAGTGGTTAAGACTAGGGTTCTGATGCATGGTCATTATCGATGTCATTCTTTAATTTTGTTGCTAAAAAATTCAATTTTGACTGACAAAGGGGCGCGCCTTTGGAGGGTGTTCCAACACTCTGAAGGGTATAAAGAGCGGGACCTTTCAATTAGAGTCGGATCCTTGCATAAATGCAAGAATGATAACTGTAAACAAATCGAATAGGGTTTTTGTTATAATTTTCGTCCTACTAAGCACAACCCGCGCTTTACCTCTCTTTTCTGAACGGGTCTAAACAAAAAATGGAATATTTCTGTGAAAGACTTCTAAATTTATTCACCTTTCCGTTGGATATGATAAAGAGTCACAAATTCTTGAGATATTGTTTAAAATCTAATACTGCTTCTTGATACCAAATTCGTTCTACGAGTTTCTATTCCGTCCTAACGCATTGAAACGCCATTAGGGATTTGCTAGGAGCACTTCTATTGTTTTGAAAACAATGAGCATAAATATTCATACAATGCGCTCTAACAGGATTTATGTTGTAGCTAGTGAACTATCGCATCGGAACAAACCTATTATTGATTTGTGCACGGTGAAATCATTGATATTATGGATATTTTCTGATTGATAGAACGGAAATGGGCGATTACGACGAAGTAGCGCTCTACCCTACTTGATCATTTTTCAATAGTGATGGAGTAATACGACATGCACTAAATTAAGGACACGGGATAAACTACCTGGGCGCCTTCAATGGTGCAAAAGGCTCCACTTACGTTCTCGAATTTCACTTTATATCGGCTTCTGATCCCAAGTAGCAATTTGGGTTTTATGAGGGTTCTGAAGACCATAATTTAGACTTGTAGAACACTTTAAAACCATGATAAAACTTGAAATGTTACTTGAGATGACATCGTTGACGGAGCTCAGCATTCGAGATCAAGTTTTGCGGCCACCAGGCACGAATTACATAAACAGCAGGCAACGCTGTTCTTGGATGTATACGTAGCAGTGGCGTTTGCTTAACCTCAATCTACCTGTGCACCAACTCTCACATAAACAATTATCAAAATATTACTTACAATGGATAGATACCCGAGCAAAGTCGGTTAACAAAATGCAAGCAAATTGATATTAAAGTTTGCAGTTACTATCATAATGAAAACTAATTTTGATTTCAACTGTTGCGACTGAAGTCTGATGTCATATTATGCTTTCATTATGCAGCCAAGACTTTTTAAATGAAAGCAACTTAACTTCAAATTCTGCTGTTAACGTCTTGTTGAAAGTTTAATATAAATTCATCTGTCGTTGAACTAACAATTATTGTCAATTCGTTTTGTTTAACACATTTTAGGTCATTCGTGACTTGTCCGGGTGAGATTTTAACTCAAGTCTTTTAGTGTGAGAAGCATGGATGCTAACAATTTATACCAGACCCGTATTTAGTTAAATATTATGAATGCAAAATCAGTAATCTAATTGATTTCATTGAAAGCAGGATCAGTTTTCCGTTTGATTCAACAATGTAAAATTTTGCTCTCATTTTTGATGCGTTAACCGTTAAGTCAACCAAAATGAGATCAACTTGAGTATTCAAAATAAACTACATCATAACAGCACATTTTGATTTCAATTTGATCTCCAGCTTTGCTCGGGTATCGAGTAAACTAGAAAATTAAGTGTATTTTCAACCGATTTTAGTATCAATATGGCATTTAATCTGGTTTTGAAAGTGGGTGCACGGGTAAAATGTGAGGTTACGGGACGCCACTGATACGTCGTAACTCCCAAGCATTCCAGGATCCATACACGCTAAAAGCATTATACTGCTCGCTAGTACGTTGTATTGTAGAATACGCCGCTTGTGTGTGGTCTCCCTACCATGCAACGCAGTAACTCGAATTGAGAAAGTGCAGAGAAGCTTCATCCGTTACGCGTTTAGATTACTACCCTGGAACGGCTCTTCAAATTTTATCGAGTACGCACTAAACCCCAACGACTGCTTGTATTTTACTTGTTAGCTAGTAACATGGATTATTCAGATCTATGCAATAAAGAACATTCCTACGCTCCATTTAGACAGTCCTAGCAATTCACCCACACAGGACCACCTACGGTCAAAACATCCCCTTGTCTAAATGTTTCTGTGTGTTCAATGAAGTGAATAATTGATTTGATTTTAATTTGTCTAAGTGTATGTTTAAACGTACAATTAGAAACTTGGAATAAGTTTCACAGTCTGAAGGAATGCTTTTAGA